TGTTGTTGATGATTGTTGAAGTAAGCTGAAAACTAGTATCGCAACAGGTGCGTCCGTTATGTCAACCTTGTTGGGTGTATTTGGGCTACTCCAATCCTTTGACAAAACTGTCGTTCAGAGTCCATTTTACGAACCTATGGCGAAAATTCGACTGTATCTCAAAATGGATCAGCTTAACTGGCCAATCATGTTCTTTGCGGATTCTTGGAGATCCTTTTAATCACTGACTGTCAACCGGCATACAGTATCGGTAATGCAGAGGAATTAGTGGCTACATATAGAAATTTAAAAACCGTATTTAACCGTTATGATTTTTATGTAAATACTCTGAATTCTTACACTAGTTATATAAGCGAGCACTTGCTCCGCCTTGGTTTTCAATACAACGTGAGCTCGGAAAACACTAACTGTACTACTCCTAACACCAGTGACTAATATCAGTAAATTCAATAATATGTACACGCAGATTAGGTATCGTTTTAATTTTTTTTCCTGGTATAATAAAAAAAGGTAACCAATTTAAAAATGTTCATAAAATACATTTATTATGCCAAGTATATGTGTTATAACTTTTCAGGTAAAATTCGGTACCTACATTACATACAGAAAAAACTATAACTTTTCCCAAAATGGCAGCCTCCTTCCAGTAACTACTTTTTTAAGCAGTCGACTACCTATAGGCAATACGCGTTCCATATACTGAGTTCAGTATAACGTACACATAATTTTTATTGTTTTTATGCATGTTGACAATATTATGCTATTATATCTATATACAATTTGAATATCATAGGTATTGTTAATTAAATATTTAAATTTAAGTCAATTTGATATTTTATGTTTCAGCGTCTGTTTGTAATGGACAAATTAAATGAAGGAGCAGACCACTTTGTAAAATGTTTGTAGTAGAAAAAAAAAACTTAATTGGTTCAAAGATGATATAAATCATTAGAACATAACTTCATTCTTATAAAAGCAAAATATTTTTAAAACATTTTTTCTATCGACACCAAAAACAATTTCTCAGGGTTAAATAAAAAAATATGGTTAAAGTACACTTAATTCGAATTTTAACTGTGACAGGTTTCATGTCTATACCACTATCGGCGGTTAATATACAGAGTTGAGAACATGAGGTGTTGTTTGGGTAATTTGTTTTAAAAACCATACTACATAGGTCCAAAAATAACTTTTTTTTTTAATTTTCTTGTCATAAAGGTACTTATTAAACAGCAACTATAATTTATACTGTAGTTATATTAAACTTAAGAGGAATATAAAATTTGACGTTTTATTGACTTTCAGTTGTCCAAAGCAAACAATATGTGCGTGTCTGTTCGCTTTTGCCCAGGTTACTGTCGTTTAGTACGTATTATAAATCGAGTTAATTTAGACATTTTCCTTTTTTGTTATAGACTAAGCAAGTCATATTCGTAAAAAATCAGGTGCATAAACGGTTAAGCATGAAAGCAAATGTTTTTATTAAGTTTTTAATTGCGTTAGTCGTTATATGCACAAAAAACGATACGAGGTGTAACGGCAGACTCACTGTGGCTGAAACAAAGCATGTCAACTATATTAGTAGACCAGAACATTGGGAAGAGATGTGGTTTCATAGGTTCAAAACTTCCGGTTCGCATTGGTCTGAAAAACGTAGATTATCTACAGCAAGTGCCAGATTCAGGCCGTTAGATAAGTTGAAAATTATACCTTACATGATGGGATGCAGTTACGGACAAAAATTGAATGATTTTCTCAGATTATTGGTTCATACGATCGATGAGTGTAATAGGATTTCACCAAAGTTTGTCGCTGATGATTGTTGGAGTAAGCTGAAAACTAGTATCGCAACAGGTGCGTCCGTTATGTCAACCTTGTTGGGTGTATTTGGGCTACTCCAATCCTTTGACAAAACTGTCGTTCAGAGTCCATTTTACGAACCTATGGCGAAAATTCGACTGTATCTCAAAATGGATCAGCTTAACTGGCCAATCATGTTCTTTGCGGATTCTTTGGAGAACCTTTTGATCACTGACTGTCAACCGGCACACAGTATCGTTAATACAGAGGAATTGGTGGCTGAATATAAAAATTCTAACACCATTTTTAACCTTTACGATTTGTTTATAAGCACTCTGAATTCTTATACTGGATATATAAGCGAGCACTTACACCGCCTTGGTTTTCAATACAACGAGACCACAGATGAAACTTTCTATACTACTCCTAACCTAGATGAATAATATTAGTAAAATTCAGTATAAGAAATCGCAGACTAAATAACGTTTCACAAGTTTTTTTTTTATAAAAAAAATGGTAACCTCTTTAAAATTTGTTATAAAATATATCACGTTTATTTGTTATAACTTATTAGTACCTATAGTTCGTTACATACAATTTTTTTGAATTACGTAAAATTCCATTGTAATAAGTATTTATAGATTTATTGCTTTAAGTGTATTTAATAAATGTAATAAATATAAAAATGTGTTTATATAAATTGTATTTGTATTTACTTTGTAATTTCTTATGATGTATACTTAATTTATGATTAGTCACACTTGAAAGCCTTATTAAATTAAAGCCTTCACGTTAGGTCGTCTTTCAGGTACAATATTCTTTATGAAATATTGAAAAAAGGTATAGGTATATAGACAACAATTTTATAATAATTATTGTTAAGGATATATAATATAATATAATAAACTTTAAGAACAGTAAACAATACCACAGGATTAAAGATTACAAATAATCCATTATTCCAGTAGTCTCGGATTGTTAGATTACAAATATTCCTACTATAATGTCCAGGAACATTTATTTTCTACAGCACATGAGAAAATATAATAAAAAAAGAATAAAACGATGGGCATATTGGTTTTGAAAAAAAAAACGGTATTACAATGATGTATGTGCATTTACATAAATATACAATAATTAACCGATTAGCGTGCACGTCGTCTCCTTCTTGCCGCTTCTTAATGACAAATCCCTTTCAGTCCGTTTTGATCGGAAATCAATAAAATACATAAGCACTTTGCCCGGTATGGAAACGTATTGTAAAAAATATGTCTTATAACCGAGTAAATGTCGAATTTAAGTACATCCACATTGCCAGTTTTTTTATTTTTAAAATCGACATTTAGATCACCGCTGAGAATCATCAGTATATCGTCCAAATGTAACATATCCTGGTATTTGAACATACCTTTAACTTAGGACTGTAAGCGGGCAGCCTAAGTTTAATGAATTCCAGGATTTTCTTCATAGGAGTGTTTGGTGAAATGTACACCGAGTAGGGTGCGTTTTCCATTTATGGTAGTTTCGACGACGCCAATGTCACCGTCTCATGTTGTATTTTTTCGATTGATAATATAATGTAGTTTAGGTAACCCGATTATAGATATTGCGCTTAATAACGATTGATTGAACTTGCTTAGAAACAGAAAAATCAGAATCGCCTGGACGATAAATAAACTATAATACTCATTACTTTAACGTCCGGCAAAACGATTATTTTTTCTTGATAAAGTTTAGTGATTTCCTTCTTTTTATTTTAAATGTGACTTTTCAAATGAAAAAAAGCGACCGAAATAGGATTATGTTTATTAAGACGACAGAATTTTCGCAAACTGCTGCCATCGAAAAATTCCATTTGTCGACCAATTATTTGAATGTATGCTTATATTTTTATTATTATTATTATCTCTAATCTCTTATTTCTTATCTCTCATATCTTATCAGATAATTATTTATCAGTTTTTTCATTAAAAAAACAACCGTTAATCAATTTTCCACCATTTTTCTGGATGGATGGATTGTTTGTAATCCTTAGTTCTGCATTGATTGTTTGCTTGTAGTCCTGTGGGAATATTTACTAAAATAAATTTAATCCAATTTTTCCTGGATAATGTGTAATCATTGTAATAATTTTATTTAGATTTTTTGGTTTCAATGTATTTAATAAATGTAATAAAAATAAAAAATTACAAACTGTATTATTATTGACTTTGTAATTTCTTATGAAGTATAATTCATTTAAGATTAGACACACTTGAAAACCGAATTAATTTATGAACTTATTAATACTTTAAAATAAAAGTTTTGAAAAAATATTTCAAAATTTTATGTTTCATGAAATGTTAAAACACTATTTAACAGTCACTTTATCCAATGCTTTAAAATGGACAATTATACCTCATAACAAATTATTACCAATGATAGAAAAAAAATAATAACAAATTCCATTTCATCAAATTTAAATTGACACAACTTAATAATGTGTTTTATTAAAAAAAAAATTACAAAATCTTGTTAGTTATAACTTAACTTTCAAAATAGATATGAAAACTTTTTTGGTAAAATATGTAAAAACATATTTTTAAAAATATTTTATTGCTCTTGCCTTTTTTAACTTCTATGCGGAAAACCGAAAACTGACGGGGCCAGATTGATAAATTGATTTGTTTAAGCAAAATATTGTAGAGCTTATTTGGTTTTGAACAATGAATTTAAAAGTAATACTATTAAAATGTCCACTATAATACCAAAATTGATTTAATACTAAATTATTAAAAACTAAAATAGACTACAATTACAAAAAAGTTATTTCCTAACTAACTGCCAACACTTTAGCTTGTAATGTTGCCATACTTTTGTTGTCTGTAGCAATCGATATTTTAATCGTTCATTACATTATAAAAAACCTTTTAGAGTGATTTTGCTGTTACGTTTCAATAAAAATTTTCTCCATGAGATATTTACATAATTTGACGATGTCTACTGCAACATAATGCAATAGCTTGTTAACGATACCTATACAACAACATTTAACTACCGAATCGTTAAGCATTTGGCGTTATTGTTTTTCTGAAATAAATATGTTTTGTTTGCGTCGTTATTGTGAATATTAGCACTTGTTGTTGATCACAATTAAGTGTGTAATTGTGAGTAGCTAGCATAATCCGTCTTCCGTGTCGAACTTTGAACGCGGAAAATGTGGCGCCACTTGATCGGGTGACGGTAACGAGACCACGCCATATCGATTGCGTTATCGGCCAATTCAAATATATTTTGTATAAATAGGTGTGCGGCATTTCAGATCAAGCATAACACGTTGTTTTGTGCAAATCTATACTTTGGTAAGTGCTAAACGGCAATATTTTCTTTGTGTAATAATGTAATACTATTGTTCGAATATTGTTATATGTGATAGTAAAACAACTGATTTCGTTATTTCAGTATTTCCTTCGCAAGTTCTCCAAGAACCAACTCAAAAACCAAAAATGGGCGCAGAAAAGGTATCAATGAACATCGTTGTCGTCGGACAAGTGCAATCCGCCAAAGCCATCAAGACTGTCGCCAAGACCAACAGCTCCGCTGTTAACCAAGCCATGGTAAGTTTTTAGCTACGCCAAATTTGCAAAATTTAAATACAATATGAAAATCTCAAACTACAACCCTAACGATTGGATTTAACCAATTCGTTTCTAATAGTTGTTGTATGCATATAATATATGTATAGTATAAATGTGTATTATTCCATTTACCGAAAATAACTTTTACGCTTACACTTAAAGTGACAAATTTAATACCAGAAGCTTTTGAAGTAGATGTTGTTTTAAAAAGAGTTTAGTTTAATGTAATCAAAATAATAATATGTTTATATTGTGACATGAGCATTCTATAAACTAATGGTCTCTTAACCTAACCAAATCTAATTTGCAATACTTTATACTAGTTTAAATATTTTTTGTTGCATAACACAGAAAAAATACATAGTTGGACCAACTACAATTATGATTATTATAGGAACACAATAAATGTCTAGCTGGTATAACTGTATAAATTCTTTTATCAGTTTAATATTTGGTAAAAAAACTATTAATTTAGTAATAGTCTAACTAGTAACTTATTAGTTTTTTTCCATGTATAAATTTGATTTGTATAATTATTAGACACACTTTTACTAAGACTCCTTCTAAAATATCTTTATGATTTTATAGTTTTTATTGATTTCTTTATAACAACTTTTTTTACAATAATATATTATCATCTTTGTCACTAATTTAAATAAAAATTAGTCCCGTAAAACGATTAATTAAATATGAATAGGTATTTTTTAATTTATTTTTTAACTATATTTAGTAAAAAATACAATGTAGTTTTATAATATAAGACAGCAGTACCTATAATAGCATTGACAATAATTGAAAATACGAAAATTTAGTTGAATACTAGAAATGTATTAAACCCTTCGTGCATGTTGTGCCGTATACGGCACAAATTAGTTTTTTGTTATTTGTTGCTTTGGAAATGAATTTATGACATAACTGTATAGATGGCCAAATTTGGCACAAAAAACTGACCCATTCTGATGTAAAGTACCTCCAACTAGCATTAAAATTGTGAATTATAGATGACCAATAAACAACTGAAAATATTATCACTGCGTCGGGTAAAAACTATTTCTTTCATGCTATCATAACAAAAAATTGAAACTACCGAATTTAAAAAAAAAAAATTACTACCTTGTAGGAAATTTTGTAGAAAATATTTTAAAAGTAAGAACAGTTTTTTAAGTATAATAGTTTTTGAAATACAACAAAAACTTATTGTGTGCCCAATATGGGACAACATGCATAAAAAGTTATTATAATTTGTTACTTACATTATTAAAAAAAAAAAAATGATAATTACACAAATCATGTTTTTTAATTATCTTGTATAATATATATATCACAAATATGCCAAAAAATGAATACCAATTATGACAACAATTTGTTTTGAGTGCATATTGTTCCAGAAATGGCACAAACAAAAGTTGTGTTTTTTAATGCATGATGCCATAAGTGGCACAAACATACATTTGGTGCGCGTTGTGCCATATTAGGCACGAATTAAACTTTGAGGAGAATTAAGGGGAAGTTGTGCTCAAATAATTTTTTTAATATTTTTCCCATAATCCTGATATATTTTAGAATCAGTACAATTTTTTTGGGGAAAAAAAAAAGTCATGCATGAAGGGGTTAAAATATATATATAGGTATATATTTAATATAATGTTAAACTAATAATACTTTAGTTTTTCAGAAATGGTAATGAAATAATTCCATGATGCCAAACTCAAAACTGCTATAGACCACACAATGCATATTACTTATACTATAATAATAATATGTATTGATATGCTCAAATAAATTTTAAAAGATCCGTTAAAATGTGTTTATTTTTTTATAAATTTAATTCATTTTTTTTTGTCTCTCAAGAACCACAACATATGTTGTATATTAAAAAAGTTACAGTGTATACAGCGAAAAAAAAAGCCCACTTCAGAGTAAAACCAATACCTTCACGCTTTGCATCGAAGCTAAAACATTTTTCTGGATTTTTGTGTAAAAGACATCAAAAGTGGTCAAATTATATGTTTTTGGGGTCGGTGATTACGAATTTAATATCAGTTCTCAATTTTAATCATCCAGAAAGAACTGAAGTAAAAAAAAAAAAAAAATTTAATTTGTGTAAACTTAAAGTCAAAAATGGTACTTGAGCACAAAACTTAATAGTATCATTCTGCATAGATATACATAACAATTTTTTAATGATTTGATCAATTTTTTTTAAAGATTTTAGGTGTTTTTGTTAAAATATACGAAATCTGCGAAAACACAGTTTCCCGGCAATTAAAAAAAAACTGTAGTGCCCAATTTTTTTCTCGTTTAATATGTTATGGATACATATGAGATCCAACTACTGTCAAATGTTTAACCCAAAAGTTTTAAAATTACGGCTAAAAACCCCGAAAAACAAAAAAACTTGTACCCCCCCTAGGGGGGCGGGAAATGGGTATAGTTTAAATTTGACACAATTGACGTGAGCGGGCATACAAAGTAATTATTTCTTATACATTTCAACTCGATTCGACTCTTTTTCTCGAAATTATAGCCAGTAAAAGTTCTAACTTAAAAACTCGTACGGTTTTTTTTTTTGTTTTTTCAAATTTCGTCTGTGAAGAATTAAACTTTTTCAACTTTTACCCCCCCCCCCTTCCCAAAGTACAAACTAGATACAATTTGTGATTTATAGAGTTGCTATTCGAAGGAATTGGTCTAGTATTAAAAAAGTTACAGTGTATACAGCGAAAAAAAAAGCCCACATCAGAGTAAAGCTAATACCTTCTCGCTTTGCATCGAAGCTAAAACAAAAATTTGTGATTTATTGATCTGCTTCTCTAAGGAATTGGTCCAGTGTTAAAAAAGTTACAGTGCATACAGATATAAAAAAAGCTCACATCATTGTAAAACGAATAGCATCTCTGCTCCCCATCGAAGCTAAAAAAACAAGAAATAAAGAACTCTGCCTAGAAGTTATAATAAATAAAATTAATAATATTTCTCAACATAAACCTATAACCATGAAAAAAGGGCAAAGATCCTATAGATTTTGATACTATTTTCGGCTCTACAGTTGAATAAAAATACTTTTTTTTGTATATTTGTATTGTAGCATGTAGTAAAATATAAGAAAATAAATTAAGCACTCATAGTGTAAATAATATTTTGACAATTATGCTAATTCAATAAAATATCGTACAAATGAACCACATTATTTTTTATGTAGCATAAACAAAACCATAGCAACTATTCTTACTATTTAAGGCAAATGAAAAATAATACTAGGAGGATTCTCTCAGTCGAGACTAAGGGAAAATCGTTGCGTTTAATTTTACATTCATTGTACGGTATACGATAATAATTGTGTTTTATGAAACATGAGGTTTTTTTTGTTATTATTATTGCTTTCAAAGTATTAATTCTTTTTGTGTGTTTATTTGGAGGCTTCGCCTTACCACTTGCTAGTTATATTCACCCAGTGGTTCACTTCTAAATATAGAAAGTATACCTCTAAGGTTCAATATAAAAGATATAGTCACTAATCCAGCTTTAATCATAATTAGATATAGTTATATATATATTTAATCAACAGAAAACGAGTTGTTTTACATTTTTATGAAGTTTTTATGTTTTATAATAATATTTCCATTTCAAACAAATAGTACAGAATTCGATAGAAACAAAAATAACCCACACACACACGCCCATTATAATTATGAGAATTAATCCATAAAATTAAAAAATTAAGCTTACTGCATACTACCTTAGTTTTATTTTTTAAATAGTCATAAACGAAATACTTAAAATAGTTTGAATTTTTGAATGATATGGTGACCGACGATAGTATGTTGTAGCCATTTTGTAGCCCTGAAATATTGATATAAAAAATAAATTAATATGCGAAAATAATACACTATGTAAAATTATATCAAATGTAATAACCTTCAGTTATCTATTATGACCGATCGAACTATTTTAGAATTTTCTTTTTCTATTTACTATTTGGAAAACTAATAATTAATTTTGACAAGCCTAAATTATTTTACAATTTTTATTTTTGTTTATCATATAACAAAAAAGCCAACAACCATAACAATTATATATTATTAAGAAACGAAAAATGTAATGGTATAACAGTGAACATATTACTTGCCCAGAGGCTGCAAATGTTTAACTCCACACCCGGCTGGTAGCGTATACATTAGTCTCACATTAACAAAATTAAGTTTATAAATGTTTTCCATGACATATGACTCTCTAGAAATCATTATAAAAGTATTTACATTAAAATTTAGCCAATTATATTATAATGTAAGGAATAGCCTGTTTGAAATTATTAGTATTGCTTCTTATGTGAAATATTAGGTCATCTGCATAATATTTCAAGTACTCTTCAGAAATGTAAAAAAAACAAGCTACTTATTAATAATAATTTATCTAGTTATTATACGTTATTCACATAATAAAAAAATATATTACTGAATTATTATTATTCAACATACTCGACAGGGGTTGAATTATCCTTTCGAGATCTATAATAGTTAGTCCATACTTATTGAGATTCTTATGTAAGTAGTTTTTAACTTTAAGCTTGGTAACTCTTTGGTTCGGGTACGGGATAAAACCAAATATTGCCTCTTCTTCTGGATTATTTTTTACATCTTGATAAATGTTGACGAGTTGCTAAAATCATTAAATTTTTATTTTTAACACATAATGTAAACAATTCAGTTATAAAACTAATGTATCTCAAATTATTACTATTATGATATTATTCAATTGGTCTATAGAGTATTTAATTGTTATATATTGTTTTGTTAATGTTTCACATATTTAGATAGAAAAAATTCGAAATTACCTCATAACTTAATTTTGATGTTATTGATTTTTTAAATTCTGTTCTCGTCATAATTACAGCTAGACATTTTTGTAAAAATATTCTCATTAAAATTTACCAAACTAAATTATTATACTGTGACAAATTGAGGGGTGGTTGCAGTTATTATTATTGCATTTAATGAACAATATTAGGCCATTAAGGGTATTAAATATCAAAAGTCATCGAAGAACAATCATTTTATTCGTCCGATTTTTATTTTTTAAACAACAAATTCTTAGGTAATGTCGTAAAATGAATATTTCAGTATTAAATGCAATTTGTATAGCCGTTATTATACAATTGTTTGTAACATGATTAGTCAAAGCAAGATATAAAGCGTTTTATATTTTTGTAACTTTTTGTTCTTTCTAACTTGAACTTGGTCCCAGAGAAAGGTGCAGGTGGCCATTTTTTTCTCCAGGCAGTTGCCCGCCCGGAGGAACAAACCGCCAGTGGCCGAGATTCGACATTAAAGTGATCATTAGGTTTCACGTTTCACGTGTTACATATTTTACAATATATATTACTGATTTATTATTATTCAACGTACGCCACATCGACTCAATTATGTGACTAGCTTCCGGTTTTGATATTCCATGTTTCACGTATACTGCTTCGTCTGATAAGTAATTTGTTATCATTTCTCGGGTAATGCCTAAACATTGTCTGCCTCGGGGGTTTGGGTAGGCTTCCGTTGCCGATTCAAAAAGTTTATTGAGTTGCTAAAATCATTAAATTTGTATTTTTAATCCAAAATGTGAATACTACTATTATAGAATTAATGCGTCACGAATATTATTACTTCTATATTATTTTGTAGGATTATAGAATATAATACACTCATGTAAACAAAGACGAAGAGACGGTTAATTAGGCCAAATACTTATTTTTTTAAGAAAAATGTATACAGTTTAAAGTCACACCGAAATTTGATAGATTGTTCAGAAGTCAAATAACAATATTAATTTTTCCAAATCTATAGGTTACGCACAGGATAAATTCTTAAAACTAGAAATAGCCAAACATTATCGTAATAGAAGCAAGCTAGCCAAGTATTTCAAATCCATTTAAAATTAGCTAAGTATTTACATCGTTCACGTTGGGACATTTTTGAAGAAAAAATGTTTTGTGTGATCGAACATAAATATGAGGTTGAATTAAATACTTTAAATAATACATTTTAAAATTTAATTTCAGAACAAATAAGAAGGGGGGACAATAAAGTTAACAGTAGCAGTAGTTCCTGGGCAATAGAATGGGAAAATAACTTAGTTATCAGTTTTTCTGATGTTAAGTTCTCTACAAATGAAGTTGATACACTAAAGCTGGGTTTAAAAATAAGTTTCACACCGCCAAAAATCCCGATATAAGACGTTATTGTAGGTATACAATATTAAAATATTGGAAAAGATAAAATCAATGAATTAATAAATTTAACAAAATTATGTATGAGTCAAAATGTATTTCAATTACAGAATAGGTTCTTTGCCCAAAATGAAGGCACAGCTATGGGTGATCCATTATCAACTTTTTTAGCGGAAGTTGTTATGAGAAGGTTTGCAACAAGTATTAAAAGTAGAAATAATAATTTTTAAAAGGTTTGATTTAGGTATGTAGTTGACATTTTAGCTATAATAGAGAAAGATTTCAATATTGGTGTTTTTCTTCAATATATAAATTATCATTATTCTTCTATTTCATTAACGTATGAAAAAGAAATCGATGGAAAGTTGCCATTCCTTGATTTACTAATTAAAAGAATGGACAATAATTTAGGTTCTGAGATTTATCGTAATAAAACGCACACATTTAGATACATTCTGAATAATTCACATCACAGTTGGCAACATAAAATTAGTCAACATCCCTAAGTTAAAAAATGTTTCTGATAAAGAACTTCAATTATTAACTGAAATAGCTGAATTTAATAGATATGATGCAAATATGAATTTTAGACTAGTTAATAAGCTCAAACGGTCAAGGGAAGTTAGAACAGCCAGCACGATTAGTAGGAGAGACAATGAAAAATGTATAAGATCGGGTGTGGTTTAATTTTTAGGTATTTCAAGGGGGTTAACAAACATTTTTAAAAATTACGGTATAACTCTAGTTGCATCTAAAAGTAATAACTTCAAATTTTTATTAAGTAGTACCAAAGATAAAACAGGAGAAGAGAAAAAATCCGGGATTTATAAAATACAATGTGAAGAATGACGTGATTAAATATGCTATGTAGGTAAGACAAAACAAAATATTGGGGTTAGGTTTGAAGAACACATAAGGAACATTAAAAACCAAGATGTACACAAATCTCCTGTTTTTTGGAACATTTATTGGACACTAAACACAGCATCAAATCTGTAAAATTACTAAAAAATGTAAATAACTCTAAAGAATTTAATACTAGGAAGGCAATAATAATGTTGAAAATTAGAATTCCATTACAAAACATTTTGTTAAAATTTACAAAACGTGTTGACGATGAGTCATCACTTCCGGTATGACGACGCTGTATATTTATAATGTATACAGGGTGATTCTTTTATCATGAACCACTCAATATATCATAGGATTTCATAAGAAATTAAAATATTTTTTTACATATTGTTGTAATACAATGTGATTTCAATTTTCACAATTTTTTTTTGTTTTTACCCCCCTCCTAACTTAGTTTTTTTGATAGCAACTTTTGAAACTTAAATGGTAATGTATATGTATATGTTATATTAACTTTTTAAATTGAGAATTATGTACTAAAAATGTTGGCTGGTCGATAACCAGTTTCGGATAACTATTTTTGAAGTTATTGAAGTTTCAAGTTTAGGGCAGGAGGAAAGCTGGAGTGTAGTATTATTTTTATCTGCGCGCATTTCCCTTCCCATCCTAACTTTAAAACTCCTAAAAAATAAATTGTAAAAAATTGAGAGCACATTGTATAACAACAATATAAAAAAGTTTATTTTTATTTCTTATTAAATCCTATGAGATATTGAGTGATTAAGTATATATATATATATATATACATTTTTTATTTAACAAACCGTATTATTAGATAAACAAATTTCAAAATTACCTTATCAGAAAATGCATTTGTTGTGTTAAAATAAAGAAACACGCACAAGAAGAATACAAAATATTTAAAGTTCATTGTGATTTTTTTTCCAACGGGTGTGATACTTGAATATGTATTGAAGTTGTATAAAGCTAAAATGATTCCTATTCTTTTAACGGCTGCTGTTTTAGCGATTTCAATTTTTTTGGGTCAATAGATTGGAAATACATATTGACTTTTAAAATAAATAATCGTGGTTGTGTTCGTGAATCTTAAAAAAAACAGTGGTTGTTTTGCCGTTGGAAAAACCCAAAACATGTACCTATCACCTGTTTACACAGCCGTCTTATAAAAACATGTTATTATACTATGAGATATCAACCCGTTGCGTTTCGGGTACCCTATACAATTTTGCCTTAAGTACGACAACATGTTTTTTTATTATTTGAACAATACGTGTGTACATTATTTTTCTACTTCTTTATTACACATTTAGATTTTTTAGCGGCCTCTGCCCCTGGGAATATTTCAATTCCTGACAAAGTCTCTGTCTCTCGGAATTTCCAATCACAATTCACAATTCAGTGTTTATGTAGTCAATAGGTTGAAAATTAATACTGATTAACAAAAATAAATAATCATGGCTATAGCATATGCATCATTAAAAAAGTAGATTAAAAAAGTAATCTAAAAATAACGTTTTTATGCGCCTTAAAAAGTATAAAATAACCCTTCGGAAGTCTTGATAACCAAATAGGACAGGTGAACTAGAAAAGCGAGGGACACATCTTTCTACTTACTTACTCTTACTTTTACTTACCCTTACTTTGTTAGATATTACAACCTAAGCGTTCGTGCTAATGCATAAAGTTGTCTCTCATAATGCTGTCTCTCTAACCGAACGGATCAGAAAGTGGTAGCATGACTTTTTATCGGAAATGAAATTTAATGGATTTCCGTACCACTTGCCTTAAATTTCATTGCAAACTGAAAAGACTTAATTGCTATTTTCTCCAAAGTTTGTTTTATGTAGGTTGCTTCAATTTTTTTGTTAACTACCTACTTGCTTAACATTTAAAGTAATGTGGCGCTCAATTTTGCATGACATGTCATTACATATCATTTTATTTAGAAGAGAAAAAATGATTGTGCATGAATTATGAGTTAAGGTAGTTATTAATGAGAAGAGAATGTTGTTATATATTCAGACGTGTGAAGTAGTAAAGATGCGTCCCACGTTTTTCTAGTTTATCTGTCCTATTTGGTTATCAAGACTCCTGAAGGGTTATTTTATACTTTTTAAGGCGCATAAAAACGTTATTTTTAGATTAATTTTTTAATCTTTTTTAGTTATTTTGTTCTTTATCGTTTTCGTATATACGTATCTATATATTTAAATGTACCATGTTATATAATGAATATACATATTATTATACATATATTTTACATATAAATAATATTATTACAACATTATATAATAAAACCCGTCCATTTCGACGGATTTCGAGTTTTTCAACCTCTTGTGGATTAATAATGCATTGTCATCGAATTGTGAGCTACTCTGAAGTTTCAGCCGGATAGCTAATCGGGAAATGCTCGAAATTTGAGTTGCAAGATTCCACCCGGAACGACAAACAAGATGTGAGTTCATAAAAACGTTATAATAATAATAATGAAAATAGTGTTTTTGCCGATTCACAAACCCGAAACATGTACCTAGTACCTGTTTACACAACCGTCTCATAACAGCACGTTATTTTTTAGCTTTTTGTAAACCATAAGTTTTTGTTGTAAACCTAACTCTTCATCAAACAGTAGTTTAGTATTGTACTGGTGACATCATATGAATAATATAACAAAAAAATATGATTTAAAAATATTTGTCTAAAAATTCGGTCGATTTACAATGAACATTTTAATTTGAGTTAGAAAAATTATTTTTTTTTGTATAATATTTAGTAGTCCAAGAAAGGTACGACAATTTACCTACACACCATATTGGTAGTACACGAACCCGTTTGCCTTAAAATTATATATTGCACGCTGGTACGGTCTATAGTAGAATACAGATCTATTATTTGTTCTCATTACCAGTTTACATTAGTAAATAAACTATAACGTAGGTTTTTATGTTGTGTTTAATAATGTAATACCATCAGAGTTGTAGTATATCAATGGTGCCGTAGTCTAGTGGTGACAGTATACTCTACAGGAACCCTCCGGAATGAGGACCGACGCAAGCTAGACCGCGCTGGGGTAGGAAACCGTCCCGATTTAGTGGGTAAATTTTCTGATTTGTACGGGTGATAACTTTCGATGATTATTATACAAGACTGTGAAGGCAACAATATGTAATGAGGTCACCCAAAATCATTAGAAAGCGTGCAAATCACAAAACCATTTCTGTATTCGCGTATCAGCAGTACTGGAGTACGGACAACAGATGTAGCCCGCACATCGAGTCCAATGGGTAAGCTTTTCATAGTTCAAGTAGATGAAATTGCATTATATGGCACGAAAAACGACTGAATGTGGTTATCATCTAAACCGTATAACAATTATTAATATTTTTAGAACCTTATACACTATATCAGCATACGGTTTACTGTCCTGTATAAACTGCCGAAGAATTGTATGGGGGGAATTTTTCTTTTCATTCTATAGACGAATCGCATTATATAGATCGAAATTCTTAATACCATTCCCTTTAATATCCCTTCTTTTCCATTGGCCCACAATTGTATTATACACCTCTAGCCTTCGGTAGAACTTTGGCTATTTCGGCCCGGTCAACCGTATGTTGCTAGAATGTAATTCGTCTTCGGTTTTTATTAAAAAGATTATGGTTTCGCAGAGAATAAATTATTTCAAAAAAAGAATAATAACTTCTGAGTTTAGCATCAAAGATAAAATATTTTTAAAATTGAATTCGATTATGGATTCAGTTTTCAATTTTACCCATTACTTTTAGGGTGGGGTCAATTTAACACCTTCTCAGATTTGCATCAAAGTTACAAAATGTTCGATCAGGTTAGTTCATTTGAATAAACTATTAATTCAAATTATTTAAATAACAATGTTTCTTTTACGAGTAGAATTATGTTTATACAAAGTAAAGAGACCCACTTACTTAACACCAAAAATACGTTTATTTGTTATATACCCTACCAAGAAGTATTCGTATAGTAAATCAGATAATTTAGTATCGCTTTTATAAAATGTGTACTTGTAGCAATATATCTGTCGCTTTTTGTTTTTTTTTTATTCAAACCGATAAATTCGTATTTAGGCCACCTTCATATTTTTTAGTTTTATACGAAAACACGTTATTATTTGAACAATATACGTGCAAAATATTTTTCTGTCTATGTACTACAACTTTAGATCCATGAGAGGCGTCTGTCTTGGATTTTTCAACCTCAATTCACCCCAAACGAGTTTCATCTAAACCCCGAACATAAATTTGTTTAATAAATTTTAATTCCTCACGAGACTTTTTAAACATTTAAGTACCATATATTATAATTGTTAATACAATTACTCAAATTCTCTATTACTAAATTCGAGCCTGGCAATTAGTGTTTAGATTATATCATCTTTATTTCTGATATTCATTTTCAGATATTTAATCATTTTAATTAATGAATAATTTTCAAAATATAATAAATAAGAGATTTTTTAATAAGTAATTTCTTATGTGACACCTGTAGATTGGCATCGAAGCGAATTTATTATGATTCAATAACTTAACCATCTCATGGACTTGACCATCTCATGAAGGCAGAGTTGGGACTACATGGCCTGTTAAGTTACATTATGATGTTGATGACAGTTATAGTTATTTCTGAAAACCTTTCACATGTTTAACTGAGTTTAAATCAACGTATATTTAACTTTGATGATTTCGGATTTTATAAAATGTGTAGGCAATTATATAAATACTGTTGTTTTATTTTAACCTATATATTATTACTTAAAATCAATTTTTTCCATTTTTTCAACAATGCATGCACATTATTTTTCTACTTATTTGTACACCCTTAAACATTTAAGAAGCCTCTGTCCCAAGGAGGATCTCAATTCCCAATTTATTGTAACATCTTCATTTCTGATACCCCATTTCATATGTTTAATCTTTAAATTCAACACATAACTGATAAAGTGCAAAATTAATACATTTGAAACGGAAGAATCAAGTAGTATAATATATGAAAGGGCTATATAAGAGTTATTATAAGAGTTTAAAAGTTATGACGGAAGGGGAAGCGTGGTTGGGAAATGCCCGCAGATAAAAAGAATACTACACTCCACCTTTCCTCCTGCCGTGAACTTGAAACTTCAATAACTTAAATATGGCTGATGTTTATGGTTGAATGAAGGTGTTTGTTGGATCGGAAAATATGTACACAATAATAAAAATGTGTTAACTAGAATACCAAACATACGTTGGAGAAAGATGAAGATGGGTTGGGGCTAGGGGTAAGAGACATGAGATAGTGGGTAAAAGATATGAGATAGGGTAAGATATAGGGGGTAGGGGGTAAGATATAGGAGTTATGAGATAAAGGTAAGATATAGGGGGTAAAAGATAGGAGATATGGGGTCGGGGATAGGAGACAGGGGGCGAAATTTATTCGGTAATTCAACGAGACGTGAAAATGCTCTTTCGTGGTTGCGGAATCGGCTGAAAAACTTTTTTAGACCACTTTGATTTTTTATTTTTGTGGGTATTATGGAACTATATAATCTTTCATGACCATACAACACTGATGTTCCAAAAATAAAGCTAATAACTATTTTGTACATTGAAAGTTTTAATATTGAAATATAACATAATATACAAATCAAAAAAATAGTACAGTAATCAATTAAAAAAAAAAAAAACACACGAACCTTTTAAAATGTTGAGAACTAAATAATAACATTTAAAAAAGCTAACAGCATATTACCTTGAAGTTTTTTTTAAAATAATCGAATTATATAATTTTAATACATTAAATTTTTTAATATAGGTAATGAACGTCGATAGGATGTTTTAAAATTTAAATACAACATTTACAACCACACAAATAACACAGTATTTGATATAAAACAAAAATAATATCCACACACATACACATCCTTTAGAATTATCAGAATAGTTAACAACATATAAAAAGTCATAAATAAAATACTTTAAATAGTTTGAATTTTTTAATATTATAGTGAACGACGATAGTATGTTTTGGTAAATTTGTAGCCCTGAAATATTAATGTGAAAATAAATGTATAATGTGATAACAATACAATATGTAAAATTATATAAAATGTCATATCCTTCGGTTGGGGAAGTCAGCAGCTTTTAAGAATAATTGCTCGGTATAACTAAAAGAGATAAAACTACTTTAAAAAAAACTCTTTAGAAAACAGCAATGACCATAAATAGTATTTTTTTATTTCAATATGTTTAGGGTTGATCGTGATCTTGTTATTGTGTCCAATGAGTAATCGTTATTAACCACATATTAAAGCTATTTCTCAGTTATCTGTTAACCGTTTACCTCTATTCTCTCGTTTAACATAACAACAAGAAAATTACCACAATCAAAGGGTAAATTCCCCCGTTTCTCTTTTAATTTTAAAACTCTGCTCTAGATCTACCTTCAGTCAAATTTTCGGACCTCGGTCACAAATCATAAAAAGCTGAAAAAAAAGACATGTCAACTCTTTCTGAGTGAATGTATTTTTTGGTAATTGTTTGATTTGTTAGTTTATATATAAATCGATATAGTAATATTGCAGAGTTCAGCTAAAGATCTACAGATATTTTTTATGTATTTAATGCATCAATTGTAGTTTTTATTAAGAGATTTTACTACTAAATATACATAAACTATGTTTAGTATACACTTTTCAACGAAATTTGCTACTCTGGAACGTATATGTTTTTACATTAATGTATTTTTTTTTGCCTGGACTCACGACATCTTCTAAAACCCTCTACACATTTTTTCACGTGGCAAGTCTACATAGATCAAATATCGTACCTGATATACACTTAATTCAGTCATTAATGTAAAAAGTTTATTCCTCCCTTTTCGAAAAGCACCAAAAAAATGTTTAAATCTTTAACTTAAAATAACGGCACGATGTTATTTATTTGTCACATTAAATAAAGTTAACAACCAATACAATATATTATAAAGAAATGAAAAATTTACTGGTAAATGGTGAACCAATTACTTGCCTAGCATCTGCAATAGTCCATCAGTGTTAGGCTCGTCTTGTATTGTAGAAAATGTTCTCCAAAAATCATGTATTTTAAGAACTTCTCTTTTGACATATAACCAACTAGGAATCATTTTAAAAGTATTCACATTAAAATTTACCAAACTATATTACAGTGTAATAAAATGACTGGTCGCAGTTTAAATTATTGCCTTTTTATGCACAATATTTGACCATAGCAGTAGTTTTCAAAAGCCATCTTAAAACAATAATTATGTTTTTCCGCTTATTTAGTTTTTAAATAATCTAAAATTGTGTCCAAAAAAAAAAATGCCATGAGGAACACCATAAAATAATACTTCAATATTAATTAAAATTAGTCTAATTATTTTAAAATATGGGTTTTACAATGTTGTGGACATTTTGTTGTGTCTCTATAAACCTTTTTAATACTAAACCAATTGTTTCGAGTAGCAACTCTATAAACCACAAATTGTATTTAAATGTTAAAATTTGAGAAAGTTCTCTTCTCCAAAGTTTAAAATTAAATAAAACTCATACGAGTACGATAGTTTTTAGAGTTGTGATCTCCCCGTGTCCACTACCCCCTGTCTCCACTCTCTCTTAACCTTACTACGCTCTGTCCCCATTTTGCGCCGACCCCACTGTACTGGCTGTTTTGCATCATATTTAGAAAAAAAAGATAAAAGCATTTTACATTTTTATAACTTGGTTCTTCCAGACTAACTTTATAGACGACTTCTGTATAATATTGTAAGTACTTCTCAGAAATGTAAAAAAAACCACTACCTATCAATGATAATTTATGTATGACATCAAAGTGATCAATAGTTGTTCACATTTAACATATTAAATATGTTACAATATCTATTACTGAGTTAATATTATTCAACGTACGAGGCAAATGTTCAGTTAGCTTTTCGATTTCCTCTCGAGTTAGTCCATATGGGTGATCAAATAAGTATTTTGTAACTGCTTGCTTGTCAACCTTGCGTTTTGTTAACACGTGAAAACCAAAGAATTTATTTTTTTTCTTACAATAAATATGTGACTCATCAAAAATGTAGTCGAGTTGCTAAAATCAATAAATTTGTATTTGTAATACATACTGTGAGTATTAGTGTTATAGAAATAATATATCTCGGGTAATTACTATTATATTATTCACTAGGCTTAAAAATAATTTAATTATTATAATTTTTGATTTTTAATGTATCATATATTAGATAAAAAAAATCATAATTACCTCACTTGTAAATAATGATTTTACTAATGCTACAAACTCAAAATGTTTCATAGGTCCACCTAGAAATCATTATAAAAGTAACCACATTTATAAGTTTTCACAATTCACATGTTATATATTTTACAATATCTATTACTGAACTACTATTATTCAACGTACTCCAACTGGCGATGGAATCAATTATCTTTTCGAATTCCCAATCCCTCATTTTCCATATATTGCGTACTCGTTGGTCACTTAAGTATGATTCAACTACAGTCTTGGTAATATGGTTAGGATAATGTTTGTCTCTCCCCATTTCCCTTATTAACGTTCTATATAATCTATCAAGAAGCTAAAATCATAGCATTGTTATTTTTAATACATAAATTAGTGTCTTGAGTAATATTTAATAGGTTTAATTATTTTTTAATAAATCACATAATTAGATGAAAATAATTAAAAATTACCATATCATCTTCGATAATTGATGCATATTTTGCTATATTAATATAAACAAACGTATATAAAAACACAATTACATATTTAAAATTCATTTTTGTATTTTTTGAACGCACAAGTTACTCGAATAATGTTTTGCAGTTGTTTAAAACATAAATGATTTTTATTATTTGTAATGGCTGCTATTATAGCGATTTCAGTGCAATAAATGCATATGTATTTTGTTTGTTAGATATAGGTTAAATGTTCACATTAAAATATAAAATCAAATAATCGAAGTTATAGCGTGTGAGTCATAAAAGAAAATTAGTTGTTTTTCCGTTTTACAAATCCACGATATGTAGGTAATACCTGTTTACACAACTGTCTTATAACAAAATGTTATTTTTTAGTTTTTGGTAAACCAAACGTTTTTATAGAAAAATTATTTTTTTTGCCATTTTGGACGGTTTTTTTTTATTATTGTTATTAATATTATTTATATGAGTTATTTATAATAGGCATCTTTCATATGGTTATACTAGTGAAGTTACCCAAGTTAAGTTAGGAATCGTTGATTTTCTTTCCACTGTTGTTAAACTCTATGTTTTAAACGAGTGAAGTGAAAAATGAGTGCACCAACCAGCAGAAACCTGTAGAATACAAACAAAAACTTCTCATTACCAGAAAAATAATATTTATTGATAATAATAATATAAAACATATTTTACATTATTGTAATGTTTTTCAGTACTAGTATTATAGCCTTAACGTGAGCCATTTTTGTATGTAGGAAAACAAGTTATTATGTATTTTTACTACTTAAAGGCATTATAAAGCAGACATATGTTTACAGCGAAAAATCATTTTATTTTTAAGAAATATAAAAACTATTTATATTAAAATATTAATTATATTAAATTAAAAATATTTATATGAAACACATTAATCTTTACAATCGAGTAATATAAATTACGAACTAAGAAAGGCAAACATTTGAACTTAAATAAAGGGCAATATAAAACTTTTCAACAAATAATTTTCATTCTTAGTAATAGCTCAACAGATAAATAGTAAAAATCTTAAAGAACCATTATAAACCCTTTCCCATAAGCTTTTCCTCAATATCCATATATGGAGTATTCTTCAAATTATTAACAATGCATTGTTCAACAAACATTGTTATCATCTGTACAATAAGTTTTAAAACGACCATTAAAAATGTACTTCGAATTATGCATTGAACAAGTCTTAAAAATGTGCATATGTTTTCATAAATATTACCAGACTACGCGCTAGATAGTACGGTTAAATTTTAAAACAATTGTTTTCGATCGAATATACACATGTGTAGAGGCCCCAAAATTATATCGAAGTGGATTTTATTGGGTTACTGTAGATATGATCTAGGTATTTATTCTGGAAAAAATAACAGAATTTTTAATATTGCCTAAACATTTTACAACAGCTATACCATACTATATAATTGGAATATAGTATGCGAGTACCTATAAAAATGCAAAATATTCAAAAGTCAAATTTAAAAAATACGGTACAACGAAACATTGTTTTCACTGATTCTTTAATGGTATAGTAATAATATTATGTACACTTATCAATAATTGTTTTACTTTGAAAAATATATACGTTAATTACGGCTGCATTCGAATTATATTTCATTACACGGGTGATGTTGAAACCCACCACAATTTTCCCAACATAATTTATATCAGTAACGGGCTAGTTTCATATTCGATATTTTAACACGCTAGGTAACGCGGTGTGGCTATTTAAAAAAAAAAAAAACAAGAAAACCTACTTTCGAAAAATTGTGTTTAGGCCAATTTTTCAAACTGATGCTTAATAAATAGTTTTTCTTTAGATATAAATCCAAACTCATTCTTGTGGTATTTATGCAGTTTGCCGCTGAGAAATCAAAGTGCATTAACTTGTAAATAAAATTACTTTTTAATATTTAACCTTGAGTATATACAGGGTGATTCTATTATCATGAATCTCGCAATATCTCGCAGGGTTTAATTAATAATTAAATTTTTTTTTATAACGTTTTTACAAAACGTGATCTCAATTTTTCACAATTTTTTTTTGTTTTTACCCCCCACCCAACTTATTTTTTTTGATAACAAACTTAGAAACTTAAATGGTAACTTATATATTTTATTAACTTTTCAATTGAGAATTATGTACTAAACATTTTGACTGGTCGATAACCAGTTTCGGTAAACTATTTTTGAAGTTATTGAAGTTTCAAGTTTAGGGCAGGAGGAAAGCTGGAGTGTAGTATTATTTTTATCTGCGCGCATTTCCCCTCCCATCCTAACTTTAAAACTCCTAAAAAATAAATTGTAAAAAATTGAGAGCACATTGTATAACAACAATATAAAAAAGTTTATTTTTATTTCTTATTAAATCCTATGAGATATTGAGTGATTAAGTATATATATATATATATATATATATATACATTTTTTATTTAACAAACCGTATTATTAGATTAAATGTTAGGATGGGAGGAGAAGTGCGGTCACTTTCAAATTAACGCTTTGATGCTCATTTGTAAATACAGAACCTTCATTTAAGACTTTCTAACTTTGCTGGTTTATACTGTGCTTGGTTTGGACTGTACTGGCTTGAAAATACTAACTACCGATTTGCATCGAAGCGTTTTTTCGAAAGTGATTTTATCACTTTCAGATTTAAAAATTTCTGTAAACCTGTGACCTCCCCGTCCCCAATATGCCCCGACCCAACTATGTTCCATCCCTACTATGCACCGACCCCACTGTACTGGTTTTTTTTTAAAAATATTATTTACAAATAATAGACTGCTAGTACAGTACGGTCTGCATAAAAAAGTGTCATAACTCAAAAGAAAAATATTTAGTGAAAAACCGATTAAACCAAATAAAAGGGTTTTATGTAGGTACATTATATTCTTCGAGAGCATCTTTTAGTGTATTTGGGATGTCGTGTGTGTTGACTTCTAGCTGATGAGTATTCCGGGCAGTCTATTATTAGGTATATGCTGAATGCTCAGTGAGACATTGCAAGTTTGGCAGAGGGGTTTTGGTTCTCTGTTCATTAGAAATGAATAATTAATTAGCTGTGTGTGGCCTAACTTAACTTGGCTGACAATGGTTTGGTTATGCCGGTGGAATTCAGGTGGACATCGGTAGGGTGCAATATTAACTGTGATCTCTCTCAGCTTATTGTTTTCTATTGAAGACTAGTGATGATGTCATTTGCCTAGGAATTTATCTTTAAATTGACGTAGAAAAATGTGGACATTATTGGGTTAGTTATTATTTGTTAAAGGTGGGGGCTGAGTCCAATTCAAAACGGTATATGTTTTAGCCTCACTTTAAATCTACCTTCGGCATAACTATCAGCTCTTAAATCTTAAAGGAATTAATTTTTCCAATTTTGATAATATCTTCAATATCTCTACACTTAAAAATAAATACTATACGTATTTATATATGCATGTTTTCAGAAACGAAGACGTGGTATTTATAAGACGATATTTTTAATAAGCAGAAAACGTGTTATTTAACATTTTTATAAAGTTTTAATATTTAAATATAACATGTAAAAACTACACAAATAGTACAGTAATCGATTAAAACAAAAAAAACAAAAACCCCTTAAAATTTTAAAAAACTCATTAATAACATTTAAAAAAAAAACCTAATGGCATACTACCATACATTTTATTTTTTGTATAGACAAATTAAATATCTTAATGTAAGTCGGTAGGATGTTGTAGTAAATTTGTAGCCCTGGAATAATATAAAAAAAATGTATGATGCGATAGTACTACACAATATATGTAAAATTATATAAAATGTCATATCCTTTGGTTGGGGAAGTCAGCAGTTTTGTAATGTTAATTGTTCGGTATAGTTAAAAGTGATAAAACTACTGTATAAAAAACTCTTTAGAAAACAGTAATGAGCATAAAATTGTATTTTTTTGTACTTCGATATGTTGGAAGGTTTATCGTGGGAAGGAGCAGGGCGTAGTAATCGCTCTGAAAAAAGAAAACCCTTCGTACGAGGATAAGGTGAAGAAGCTTACAGCCGGGGTCGACCGGAAAGCTATCAACGTATCCGTGACGGGATGAGAAGAACTAAGGTGGACCATATCGTCCTTTCGGTAGGGAAGGCGATGAGGGTTGCAAAGCGTAGAAAAGAAGCCGAAAAGATATTGGCAAGGACGCGATGATCCGGGAATTTGCGAGCCCTATACAAATAGAAATCTTTGGCATTGAATGCCTTGACAAACGTGGACGATGTGTTAGCGGGAATCTGCAGAGAAGGTGCAAATAAAGAAGAGATGGCGGTACGGCGACTCGTGCCCAACTACGGAGGTGCACAGAATGCAGTAGTGTCACTAACAGAGGCAGCCTCAATCCAGTTGCTCAAAAGAGTCATATGATCTCGTGTCGAGTCCGATTTCAGGCGCGTAAATTGGACCGCTGCTTCCAGTGTCATGCTTACGGACATAAATCAGGGAATTACAAAGGTCCCGACGGGACCAAAATATGCATAACCTGCGACGGGGAGGGCTACATTGCGAGAAATTGCAATGCCCCTCCTCACTGTATCCTATGCCAGAAGATCGGGAAGAACGCCATCCAGAACACTGTCCAGGGAGAGGAAAGTGTTAGGCGTACAGAAGAGTGACAGCTAAACCTGGTCCTGGATAGTGCCTGGTGGTGGCTGCGACACGGGGCTGAAGCCAAAGAGAAATGAGTGGGACGGCAAGTCCTGCAGCATCTGTAATTCTGAGTGAAGATCAAACAAACAAGAAGACTGGATTTTTCCGATTTTGTTAAATTTGTACATTGTATTGTGTTTTTCATGTAAATATCTTGTATGTGTTTTGTGTGATTTCACAAAAAACGATGTAGGAGGTAATCCCTTGAAGTAATGCTTAACGGCGTGTTAAGTCTACCATTCAGCAGCGTAAAAAAAAAGGGTTGATTGTGGGTGTACAAAATGTCTTGCTATTGTGACTCAATATGTTATCGTTATTAACCACATTTTTAAGCGACTTCTAAGATACCTGTTAATCTATCTTCTA